TTCACCTCTTTCAATTTCAAAGATCACCATCAAATATCAACATATAGAATATTTCAGCAATCATATACCTCAAATTTATTAGTAATGGAAACTTTAAACACAAAAGTTTCTTTCCAAAGAAAGGGACATACCGACCAGTAATAGAAACACACATCAAAATCATAAACAATCAGTACACTATTTATTCTTGCAGTACTCTTTTTCAGAAATGACAATATACAATTTCAACACCTGAGTATGTGAGAACTCGAGCCACAGTAGATATATTTATAAAGCAAATCATTGGTTAAAATAGCCATTTATGGGCATAAATTGGGTACAAAAGCTTTTAGGCAATTCTATTTTCGAAATCATTTTTAAACAGTTGAGTCAAGGCTCATTCCATAATCTTTATCACACCCTCTTATTTCATTGGCACCACTAGCCACAATTATAACTTAAATTTTTGGCACGTTGGCCACACTCTATATCCCTAATTCACTTATTTCATTTTCAAGCATCTTTATAGATTACCAACAACAAGACATTTTTAATCAAGACTTTAGGTACACATATGACCAATTTAGAGCCTTAAACATATCGAGTTTTCCCAAACAATTTGGCATACTAGCTTTCATTTGAAACACGACTCAAAGCCATAACATTTTAATACGCTAACCCATACTTTGAAACTCACGAAAACATTATGGAATTCGATTCTAAGAGAGAAAGTTTAGCCAACATACCTTGTCCGAGCTTTCCTTAAGTTGCTACAATGCCCCAACACTTCTAACAATAACAATCTATAGGAAGATAGTGAAAATCGATTAATAATTAGAAGGATTTCTATGATGTAACTCTCTTAGGAATTTTGTCAAACACCTAACACGCGAAATAGACCACAAGGCTCTACAATGGAGATCATTTCATCCCTCAACCAATTTCAATAAGAAACTACCCAAAATGGTTCATTAATCCCACCTACTACAACTTTGTGTCACATGTATGGCCTACTTCCAACCCACAATATATTTGAACTCATAACCTCTTGTATGAAAGCTTAGAAGTAGGACTTATCCGGATAAAAGATAATCTAGTAATTGACTTTCTTGATTCTTGAAGATTGGTGCAAGATTGGATGATTGGGAGGTTAGGTTTTCTCCTTCTCTCTCTAAAATGCTCTCACCTCTCTCTAGACTCACCAGAAAATCGTCCCAAACAAAACCCCAAAGGCTATTTATTAAAATGGGGTCGGGTTGTAAAAACCACAAAATTTGTATAGTCGCACTGCATGGGACGCCGTGGGGCGCGACGCGGTAGTGAAAAATATGCCTAGAAACGAAATTTTGAAGTGTTCTGGAAATCCCCACAGGCGCGCCGCATGGGGCGGCACGGTAGTGTCACATTCTGTCAGCATTTGGTAATTTGGTCATAACTTCTTGTAGGAGTGTCCAAATGATGAACGGTTTGAAGCGTTAGAAATTAGACTCCAAGATCTTTCATGTGATAGGATGTTTATCACATAACTCTTTATATTGATGTATATATGATCCTCCAAAGTTTGGTCGTGTGCGTACTCATTTGAAACTTTAGTCTATTATGTAATTTTCCAACTTGACTTAGACTTAAGCCTCTTCTTAGACCCCACATCACTTATAATATATCACGTACACTTATTATCATATCCAATTAATATTCATCATATTAATAGCCCTCGTCTGCACACAAAATAATATAATTAGCACACATCAATTTCCTTAATAGTGGTTAGGTACTTTAAAATTTTCCGGAGTGATACATTCTCCCACACTTAGGATCATTCATCCTCGAATGAGGAGTAGAGTAGACCCCAACACCGAACATAATTTAACTCTTACACACCTCAAGTTCCCAAAATTTTGACTAACTCCCAAATTTTTCAGAAATTTTGGCAGAATTTTCTTTGTAATTGGGTTTATCCACCTGCTAGAGAATCACCAAAATCATCCTAACAACACATTCACAACTCGACAAAGCATCACAATGTATATCAACAACACTAATTTCAATATTACAAGTATTATATTATCAAAATTGATACCTGGACATGAGTTGCACCTATTTAAATCATAATACATAGAAAATACCTTTCGAGCCACAATTATTTGACTATACGACCAAGTGGGAACATTTTCTTTCCCTAACAATTTCGGCCTTCGAGGTGGGCTCCTCGACTCATAGACTTCGACATAACACATTCACAGAGGCAATCTCAACTCCCAGACCTTATCTAACAAGGATGATAATTAAGTACCTCTCATAGGCCAATTATCTATTTACTTCACCTCCACTAGCTTTCACCGGAACGGTAGACCAAGAACTCCAACTACCTTTCTTAGACACTGTCACATGAAACACCAGGTACATGGAGGACAACAATAGGGAAACATCATACTCATAGTTTGGCATATTTCCTTCAGGATTTCATAAGGCCTAATGTGACTGCACATACTTTACGCTTATTAGAAATTCACGTAACATCCTCATGGAGAAAATATTGAGAATAACCCATTTACTTTCTTCAACTCTAAATCTCTATGCCGAACACCCAAACTAAACCTTTGGCGACCTCAAACAATTTCTCTAAGATGTGCTAGCATGCATATGGCGATAAAATTTCCTATCCCATATATTTGATCACGGGATGATGCTTCTTCTTTGACATATTTGAACCTTCAACCCCCATAGATTTAATACAAGGAGGAACAACGGGGTTCGAGGCTTGGCTGGAATTATTCAAGAATCCATCAATGGGCTAAGTAGAGTATTTCATGAGGTTATATATCCTAAAAGACATGAAGCTTACTACTGATAACGCTGACAAAATTAATCATAGTGATGACATCATTGATTTGACAAATGAGGCATAGAGTTAACTAGTATATCGATAATAGAAATCCTTAAGGAGGAATAGTCAAGTACGTGACACCAGTTACCTACTTAAGTGTAGGGAATTTTTTTTAAATTCAAAATGAGAATATTTTGGCACCCTGAATGTGATATGGGTTTCAAAATATATGAAGTTGCATTATGCTCTTAACAGTAACTAGCACAAGGAATCTATGCCACAAGCCTACGAGGATGAAAAAGAAGTTGAACACTTGTAAATTGTAGTGCTAGAAAATGTGATTTTAGGAAAAAATATTTTGATTTCAAATGAAAAATCACATTTTGAATGATTAAGTCATGGGCTGCTTTCCATTNCGCCGCGCGCACCGACAATGCCGCGCGCCCAAATCATCATGTTGCCATCAGCGCCGCACTCCCAGACAGTGCCCCGCACGCAGACCCAATGCCAAGCGCCAGCGCCCCATCGCTGGCAGATCTAAATAGTGCCGCGCGCGCCCACAGCAATGCGCGCGCAGACCCTGCTGCTCAAGACAAAGTTGCTGCCATCGGACTTGCTTCCATAGAAGACTAAGTCCTTTTCATTGTAATTATAGAGTAGTTTTACTTCATTTAGTTTCAGTGTGCTTCTACAGCTTTCTTAGGTCAACTCATGTAACTTTGGTTTATTTTTTTTAAGCATTATTAAGGGGGACCAAAGCATTCAAACATTCAAGTATTCAAACAATTCTCTGTACTGGTGTCTCTCCCCCCCGACACTGCATTGCATCTTGTAATAGCTTTCATCATCATCATCAATACAATCATCAGCTTTCATCATCAGTTGCTCATTTTCCGCTGCTCAATTGCTTACGACATTTGGTTTTCCCGTACGGCACTGATAATCTAGTCTAGCGTACGGCGAGGACCCTAGTTGGCGCATAGCAACCGCACTGACATCGGTTGCTTAGCCTTACGTCGCCCTTCCAAGGAACATCAGGAAGGCGCCGCGTAACATTACATCCGAAGAGGCTTCATAGTTAGATGTCCTAAAAATTGATTCATGTTGTGTACGGGTAAAATCGGGGGTAGTGTCTATCCCGATTTCCCGATAAAAGAACAAAGAGGGAGCACGGATCTACGCGATTATAGTTGGGGCCAGAGACCCTTCATATCGAGACCCAGGAAGTATGAACGATATATCCGACATCAGACATGGTAAGGCGACGCACCACGGACCGAGTATAGCTCCTAGATATCTTGAGACACGGTGGACGGTTATGCATAATTGCTACGGAGGCCGTAATACTTGACTTCAACCGGACATTACAGCGCAAATCTCGTTTAGTAACAATTATGGATTAATAATTATCGGGAAAAGAAATTTTTTACCTTTTTAGACTTATAATAGGAATGAAATTCTCCTACTATATAAAAGAAAAGTTTTTTCTTTGATCAAAATATGGTAACACGCAATTCAAAGCAAAAAAGTTTATTTTTGTCTTCTAGCAACTGTTCGGGGTATTACTTGTATGTGTTTTCTTCATTCAAGACTGAGCTTGAATCGAGGGTCTAATCGAGGACGAGCTCATTGTTTGATTTAGTTTCAGGCTTGGTCATAACATTGTGATTGATTTGATCGTTTTATTCTTCTTTAATTCATCTATATGTTGTTCTTAATTATTCGTGTTGAATTAAATCACGTATCCTTTAAACCGCGTACAAATTTAATTGTTACCTAATTTTGGGGTAAACACATGTAATTTATTTTTTAACTTTATTAAATATCGATAATCATAATATAATATTTCCTTCATTAAAAAAAGAAAGATAAAAAGTTTACGTTTGAGAATAAACTATCTAATTAGGTCTCAATTTGAATATTAATTCATTAATTTCTGAATTTTAAACGTGATTGTAACCTTTGTAAACGTATTTTAAAATTATCTTTTCAAAAAAGAATGATAAAAAAATTCAAAATGTACATTCCAACGTGAACAGCCAAAAACAGAGAAATAAAAGAAAAAGCGAAAGATCAAGAAATATAGTAGTATCAAAGAAAATAATAATTAAATTGTAAACTTTCAAAGGCAGGATAAAATAGTGTTAAAACGGGCAGAATTCAGACAGTAGTAACTTAATTATGCTCCCTATTCATGATCATCACAATTTCTAAATTGTAGCCAATTAGATCTTCTCTGTTAACTTATATACGAAGTAATTAATAAAACAGAAAAAAAGGACTTTGTTCGTCGGAGTGAGAGAAAACAAAAAGGCTGTTGTTGGGATCCCATCTTCCTCAACCTCCAATCTCAATTTCCCTTTTCTTCCTCCACCCACCTCCACCACCGCCACCGCCACCGCCACGTCGCCGCCGTTGACGATCCAAATTTCCACCGTATAATTTTCAAAATATTTAAAAAATGTCAATAAACATGAAAACTCTAACCCAAGCCTTCGCCAAAGCCTCAGCTAAAGCCTCAGCGGTGATCGAAAAAACCGTTCAAACCACCGTACAAGAAGTCACCGGTTTACCCAGAGCTTTACAAGACTACGATCTCTTAGATCAGATCGGGTCAGCTGGGCCGGGCCTAGTTTGGAAGTTGTACTCAGCCAAGGCCCGAGACGGTCATGCGGTTTACCCGAACGTCTGCGTTTGGCTTCTCGACAAGCGGGCCCTTTCCGAGGCGCGACAACGGGCCGGCCTTTCTAAGACTGCTGAAGACTTGTTTTTTGATGTTATTCGGGCTGATGCGGCCCGGTTGGTGAGGTTGAGGCATCCTGGGGTTGTTCATGTAGTGCAGGCACTTGATGAGAGTAAGAATGCTATGGCTATGGTTACTGAACCCTTGTTTGCTTCTGCTGCTAATGCTTTGGGGGATTTGGAGAATATTGAGAAAGTTCCTAAGGAGCTTAAAGGAATGGTAATTGTGTTATTCTGAGTCTTTTAGATAACTGCGTAATTAACTGCAAATTTCATTGAATTTTTCGTGCAAAGTTTGAATTTTTTTACGCTTTTATGATAATTTTGAGCTGGTTCAAGTGTGTGATTTTGTTTTTTGAGTTAGTTACATTGTGGTTGGGTAATTAGTATATTGATGCTAATTAGTGTTTTTTGTGTCATTTCATTACTAGATGGTTCACTTTTTGTTAACTTGCTTTGGATTTAGGTGTGCAATTTACTAACTTATGTAGTTAGATGTGAGGACTCTGAATCTCCGATAGCTACTGCCTACTAGGAAGGGTTTGTATTAGACCAAAAGTTCGGATTTATTATCTTAAATAGTTAGATGTAAGATTGACTGCAAAAGCTATTACGAACGCATTCTATTAGACCAAAGAGTTTACCTTGCTTGTCGGAGGTCCATAATATTTTTGTTTTGTCTATCGAATCTTTCATGGAAACTTTGAAGTTTTTTGTGGTTTTGATGATCTTTGAGCTACATTGTGGTTTTATCACGTAAAAGAAAGAAAAAATGAAGATAATATGTGGGCTATTAGTATGAATTTTGGAGTTATAATGATGTGATGATAACAACTACCTCTCAACTAGTTTGGGATTGATGTGTAGTTAATTGAGCAATTGAACATGATGGGAACTCACTCTGTGTCATTTCCTATATAAAGATTTTTGCACTTTTTTAGTTTATGTGTGCGACTTAAAGTTTGATGTAGATTGATTCAAATGCTATACAGGATGGTTTACATTAGACAAAATGTTTAGATTTATTAACTCAAGTAGTTAGATGTCAGATTGACCCCGAAAGCTAGGGATGATTTGTATTAGACCAGAAAGTTTAGATATTTAAATAGTTACTTGTAAGATTTACTTTGAAAGCTGCCACGAAAAAAATCTACTAGGGATGGGTTGTATTAGACCAAAAGATTTTCCTTGTCTGACGTTTATAAAATCTTAATATTGGATTTAAAGGCACATAATTTCTGTCTAGCTGGGTAATAGCTTTTGCAGCTCGGCATCTCTATTGAAAGAATCCCACTGTATAAAGCTAGAAGCTGGTCCTAGGTTATAATTGCTTGGAGAGATTTGGTGAAAAGAAGGGTAGCATTTTAGCTTCGAGACATTTATCTAGTGGTTCAAAAAACAGTGTACTTCATGGTAGTGTCTGAAAAGAACACGTATTGGCGTGAGTACATGATATGCATCTTCATCCTCTGTGTATGGTTATCACAATACCTTATGATAAATTCAGATGTTGGAGTCAACACTGATGTAGAGATTTGTCATAATCATCTTCACCGCAGCTTGTTGTTGTTATCTCCCACAGACAAGGAAGCTCTTGTTGGTGGCAAAATGAGAAAGAGACGGATTTCAGGAGTCTAGAGTCTGTTCGGAGACATAACCAACAACAACAACAACAACGGCCCAGTAAAATCCCACAAGTGGGGTATGGGGAGGGTAGTGTGTACGGAAACCTTACCTCTACCCCGAGGGGTAGAGAGGCTGTTTCCGATAGACCCTCGGCTCAAGAAAACGAAAAGAGACAATATATCAGTACAATCAACAAAAAATCATAGAAATAATAACAACATCACAAGAACCAGTAACTAGATGAAAAGCAGAAATAGTAACCAGTAAATAAGGCCCGACACTATGAAAACGGAAGAGTAGTGTAAACACAACATTGACCACTGGCATTCTAAGACTAAGTCTTATCAGCCTAGCCTCACACTGGTAGACTAAATATGCTCAACTACCTCCTAACTTACAATCTTAATGCTCGACTTCCACCGCTTCCTATCGAGTGCCATGTCCTCGAAAATCTGAAGCCTCGCCATATCCCGCCTGATCACCTCTCCCCAATACTTCTTCGGCCGCCCTCTACCTCTCCTCGTACCCACCAACGCCAACCGCTCGCACCTCCTTACCGGGGCATCCAAGCTTCTCCTCTGTACTTGCCCGAACCATCCGAGCCTCATTTCCCGCATCTTGTCATCAATGGGAGCCACGCCCACCTTCTCCCGAATATTTTCATTCCTAATCTTATCCATCCTAGTGTGCCTGCACATCCACCTCAACATCCTCATTTCTTATGGATATGTGAGTTCTTAACTGGCCAACACTCAGCCCCATACAATATGGCCGGTCTAACCACCGCTCTATAAAACTTACCTTTGAGTAGCGGCGTCACTTTCTTGTCACACATGACTCCAAATGCTAACCTCCATTTTATCCATCCCACCCCTATACGGTGTGTGACATCCTCATCGATCTCCCCATCCCCCTTCATAACCGACCCAAGGTACTTGAAACTGCCTCTCTTGGAAATGACCTGCGATCCAAGCCTCACGTCCATGCCCGCTTCCCTCGGCTCGACACAAATTCGATCTCAGCATCCTTCACAAATGTTGAACCCACTGTAGGTATAAGCATGTGATTTCAGGAACACTTAATTTTCCTTAAAAGACAAATTATTAGTATTGGAATGACTTGGCCCGAATTGAGCATAATGAATCCAGAGGATTCATGTAACTGGCCTCGATTAGTTTGTGATTGAGCGTAGTTGATGTGTACTCTAGAAGAGTGTGGCACGATTGGGAGAGGGATGGGCTAGAGAATGATGACTTTGTTATATACCTTGGATTTGGATTACATTGTAGGTGTCTATGTCTGGTTGCACAAGCCAACTAAACGAAGAGATTATATTGCAATCATGCTATAGGTATTCCTTTTTTAAGTAAAAGAGGTATTGCATTGTCATTGGGCACCACGGGGATGCTAGCTTCGTAGCAACAAAAAAGTATAATCTATTGTTACACCTGTTTGGCATCAGCTATGCCCTGGAATGTAGAGCAGCTCGTGTGGAGCTGGAAATGCAGAGCTGCACTGCTATGGAGCATGGAGCTTGGGGAATCTCCCCCAGTTGTAATGTGAACCTTATAGAAGGAAAAGAAAATTCAATTTCTGACCCTGCTTTTTCCCTTTTCTATATATTTTTTCTTAGTGCACTTGTCACTCCTGCTTGTACAGATGTCAAGTTGGGTTTTCTTGAGAATTATAGATTGTAGAGCTTTTTCTTATCAATCTTTTGTATATAGGCATCACCTTTTGCTAGTAAGCTTTCATTTCCTTATATCAAATCAACAAGAATATACTTGAGCGTTTTTATCAACCCTCTGGGATATGGAAAAGAATAATTATTACTCCCTTTGTCGCAATTTATGTGTCACACTTTTCTTTTTAGTTTGTCCAAAAAGAATGTTACCTTTCTATGTTTAGAAATAATTTAACTTTAAAATTCTAATTTTACCCTTAACATTATAGCCACACCCACACAAAATATCTGAAACTTTGTTTTAGACCACAATTTTCAAAAGTCTTCGTTTTTTCCTTAAACTCCATGCCCGGTCAAATGATGCCACATAAATTGGGAGGAGGGGGAGCAAATTTTGTTTATCGGACTCGCTAACATAGTGGTATTATACAAAACATTAAACCACTTTTGAAGCTCTAACCTCGTAAAAGAACATGCTTGAGGCTCTCAATAACTCTGCTATACGTAAAACCAAATAGTTCTAAAGTATCTGGAGAGGGAGATAAAACAAGCAAGTGGTGTTTGGAGTAGATGGTCTGTTGCAGCAATTGCCTCGTGTTGGGAAGCCTAAGCTTCTGATAGGTGACTGTATTAATCATCTTATCTTTCCAAATTCATGCACTCTTTGATTGATATTTACCTATGGCATTGCCTTTTTTTGGAGTGATCATCTTAAATCTATAACCAAAAAAGGACAATAGAGTTTCAATACAGCCATGAAGCAGAGATGCACTTGTTGTCATTAGGGAAACTACTCCTTATTACTGAAATTTCCAGTGATAAAACTAAAACAGCATTAAACCTAAGACAAAAATAAGATGCTTAAAGCAGAGAGTGCAAGCTGAGAAACAACTTTTACTTCGATAGTTGTCTCATCTTTCGGTGCTTCCTCTTCGACCTAGGAAATTCTGATCGTACATACATAATTTTTATTTGCAAATTAAGATTTTTAAGAAACACTGAATTTGATACATTTTTGTAATAAAAGATGCAAACTATTACCTTATGTTTTTTCCGATTTGGCAGTAGGTTAGCACTTGGTGGTACTGGATACTCTGCTGACGAGATCTCGCTTTGCAGGAAATGGGATTGCTTGAGGTTAAACATGGTCTGCTCCAAATTGCAGAAACCTTGGATTTCCTCCACGGCAATGCTCGTCTAATTCATCGGTCTATATCTCCGGAGGTATTTATTTTTGTTTTTCCATTTTCTTAACTATTTACGTTATTACCTTTGTGTGGGTTAGGCATTGCTATCATGCATATAAATAATATGATACCTTCCATTTCTCATCCGAAGTTTGCCCTTGCTTTGGTATGTATAGGTTTACAGTACATCTAATATGGTTATAGAGACAACTGAGGTAGTGAGACCGTTACCAAATATATCCATTATCTTTTTTCTTTCTTCACCCTCATAGCTGGAACAAAAATTGAGAATTGTTCTTATGGGCTTGGTTTTATTTGAAGTAGAGTGTTTATTTGATGTTTGGTGCACTAAGAAGAGGAGGAAAGAAGCTTATCCTAAAGCTTGTATTCATGACTCATTTCATATTACCCCTATCTTGAAATTTTAATTGTTCATTATAATGTTCTCCTCCTTGTCCCTCTTCCTCTTCTACAATTCACTACATCTTCACAGCTAATTATTAAGATGTTAGTATATTTCTAGTGATTAAGTGTGCCACCTTGGTTTAGGAAAGAAAAAGGCAAGGCCATATTATGTTTGTTAAATTATGTAGCTTGTGATACGGCAGAAGTAGAGGTGGGTTACCTCTTACCTGGGAGTTGGGGTTGCTGGCTAATGAAGAACAGGTGATGCTGTGTTGTGCATTTTAGTAAAATGGTGCGTTGTGTTTCAAGAAGTAACTTGTGGGACTGTTGGCAATAAGAGTTGGAGTATAATGGTAGAGTTTGTTTTTGGCAATTTTTGAGGAATAAACGATGGTGTTGATCTCTGCGAGGTTGGCCCTTTAAGATGTTTGGAGGCTAATGGAGGTATATTTTTTTTTTTTTTTTTTGATGGGTAATGGAGGTATATTGGAATTTCTAGCAGAGTTATGTGGATCTTACCATAAATGTTTTGCTAGTGCTACTCTTTTATTCTTTTAAAGGAGTATCATACTTGTTCTCTTATTTGATCATTCCTGCTGGTGGAGAATGGGTTCTTGCATATGTAATTGCAAGTTTGTCAAATGAAAATGATTTTTGAGTTTTTTCCTGAGGAAGTCTGGCTTTGCTTGATAGGTGTAGGATATCTCCAGGATATGCTGGTCAAATGTGCTAATTTTGCCCATGCATGTGAGATATAGATTATGGCTGTGTTTGCTTGAGAGAAATTCCTAAGGTTACTGCTTATTGCAAAGAAAAGAAAAAAAAATAGGTTGGATAATTTGATGGTCCTCGATAGGAATTGCCCTTTAATATACTTCTTTATCTTCCAAGAGCAAGATCAGGTAGCTACTTGGCACAGCTGTTAGGTTGATATCATGTATGAAGTTGTCATAGTTATGTCTGTGTACACCTGGAAAATGATAGGTTGTTACTCCTTCTGTTGTTATAAAAAGTTGCTCATTTCTTAAGGAAAACCAGTTAGAGTATATACCTTGTGTCGGGATGTGAAATTGAAAATTGATTTTCCCTGCAAATTACTGTTGCAGACTATTCTCATCACTTCAAATGGAGCTTGGAAACTTGGTGGTTTTGGTTTTGCCATTTCAGTGGATCAAGCAGCTGATTTATCCAACATGCAGGCTTTCCATTATGCTGTAAGTAAATAATTCTAAGAGCTTGGAACTCATATTTTATTTGCCTTGAATTTTACTGTGCATCTGGAGAACTTGCTTTTCTTTGTTCCCTAGTTCAAATTCCTGTGTGTTGCAAAACATACCATTGATGCAGCTGTGAACAAGGAAATGATACTGTCTATACTGTTGACGGCTCCTAGTTGCTTATGGAATTTTATATGAATTTGACTATGATGCTCTTGGTGTTCATAAAATTTTTGCCGGGGATTTTCGAAGTTAAATGTGAACAATATGGGGCTTAGTACGTAGTTCATTTTCTTTCAAGTCATTGTATATTTGTCATGTACTGATGTGCTCCTTTCATTTACATTGTATCAGGTCTTTTTTCATAGTAAGTAGTGGCCTGAAGTTAGAGGATATGACTGATAAGCTTAATGCCACTATTATATTGCACACTGATCAAGTTGACATGGAGTTTTCTTTTTTACGTCGCGATAAATAAAACAGATATGCTCTGACGTGCAGTAACTTAATGCTTCTGTGCAGATCTTTTTTAAAATAATATGTGCTGGCAGTCTTTTTTATGTTGCTTACCCTCCCCTCCTCCTCCTCCCCCC